AAAAAAAAAAAAAAAAAAAAAAGGATATGTCTTCTGGCTTCCACCAGGATCCCATGGATGGGGTGAATGCTGACATGCTGCCTCTGATAACTGACGAGTCTTCCTCTGATGACTGACAGGCCGGGTCTCCAGCAGTGTGGTCAGGGTGTGCAGGACCTGTGGGCACAGCACATACCTTAAGTTCAAATCCATGATGATGACATAGAGAAAGCTTTGGCAGAATGGATGATCACAGAGCTCTTGATGTTTGTGACATCTGCAGTTCAAATCACACAACACATCATTATGCTTCATACATATACAGCGTAAGTATTTGACTACCTAAAATAAACACTTTGTTTTTCAGAACTGTTAATTGCTAAGTTGGCAAATTGCTATTTGAAAAAAATGGCCCTCCTTGACTCGATGATTCAGCTGGCTGGGCCTTTGCTAAACTGGCTTGTTGGGCAAATTCCACCTGGAGAATTAGTCTGCTCCTGTCAAAGCCAGATTCTCTCTGTCCAAAGGAAGGTTAGACTTGACCTTCTAACTCAGGATATGCTGACTTGGGTGCCTGTGTCCAAGGGCTGCTTCCTTGGGCCCAGTGTGGGCTGGACCTCTTCTAAGATGGGACAACAGAGGGCGGGCCCCACCTGAGTCACCAACCCCATCCAGGCCGGTAAAGCTGTTCCCGGCAGGAGTTGCCTGAGCCCAGCTCCTCACACCAGAATCCACTCAAGATTAGGATGGGATCAGTCTATCCCGGGTTTCTTGGCTAGAAAGGGGCCCAGCCCTCAGGTCTACCACAGAGATAAAGAACAGAGGGTCTGCCAGAGTATATGGGCTGGACCACGAGGATGGAAAGCTGGTCACAGCTGGAGCTGGAAGGACAAGTGGGACCGAACCTGGGCAGCTTGGCCTCTCCAGACCTCTCGCCTTCTTCCCACAAGGCATTTGGGATTTGTGTTGGACCCAACCCTGTTCCGTAATCACCAAGGCAGTGTATTCAAGAGGGGCAGAGTCTCATGGGCAGAGGACTATGTGGCAGCCTGACAGAAGGAGGGGGTCAGGTGGAAGGAAAGCCTTTCCTAGAGGCTGTGTGGTTCAGGCTCTGGGCTGAGCACTGGGGCCAGAGTCCTGCTGAGTGGCTAGTTCTGACAAGGGCCTGTCTGGGTGGTGAGCTCATGAAAGAGAGGAACTGTGAAGGGTACCTAGGGTGGAGCCTTGTGGGAGGGATCTATGGAGTCTGGAAGTCATTCCAGAGCTGGTGGGTGACACCTATCAGGGGAACAGGCATAGGATCCCTGTAGGGGGTGGGAGACACACAGCTTCAGAGGAAACAGGGAAGGGGCTGGCTGTGACAGGTCCAGGGAGCAACCCTGTGGCTCTCAGCCCAGTTCCCACCATCCTCTACATTGTTGACCTGACATTCTAGGTGGAACACTCTGGAATTTGGCTGTAACAAGAGGAGGACAGGGTCATCTGGACCTGTTTGAGTTCCAAGCCTTTCCACCTCCACAGCCCCTTCTGGTTCACAAGATCACACACACACATGTACATTTTTTCTTTTTTCAGCCTGAGCTGTCTCAGTCTCTACTGCTGTGTCCCCAGCACAGAGCAGAGCAGGCACTTGGGGAATGTGTTGAGTGACTGAGGTCCTCTCTTTACCCTGACAAGTCTCCAGTCGGGGGCAGATGGACAAAGTCACATCGAGGGCTACTGCCCCACCCCTCAGAGGCAAACACATACATTTGCAAAACATGCAAGAGTTATTACTATTGTTTTTTTATCTTTATTTTATTAAAGAGGGTTCTTACAAATTGTTTAAGCCTTGATCCACCCCTCCCCAAGGAAATGGCAATGGCATTTGTGGGGTTGTGGCCTCATGACCCAGAGGTCCTACTGCCCATGGTACCCACTGCCCACCCCAGGAAGGTGGGCCACAGCCCTGGAGCCCCCAATACCATGCAGGAATGCAAGAGGGCCTCAGCACATAGGCCCCAGACTGTGAGGGCCTGTGGTCTGGTAAACACAAATAAGGCGCCACCACGCTCAGGAGGGCAGCTCTGAGGGATGAGGAAGCCTGCATAGGGGAGGCAGCTTCAGACTCCTGCCCAGGCCTGGACCCCGGGGGCAGGACATGAGAATATCCTCTCCTTAGCTCCTGGCCAGCAGGGGTCATATCCCCCGGCCCTCTGGCTCCAAGGCAGCCTCAGGCCCTAGCTACTTCTTGGCCTATCTCACTGGTTGGTGAGGGCTCACTGCCAAGGGGCATCTCCCTAGCACCTCAGTGATGAAGGGGAAGAAACAAATGTTTACCAAGGGCTTGTATGCTTTGCCCCACTGACTATCAGTGACACAGCCAGGAAGGCATGGTGGTTCCCATTTTATAGATGAGGAAACTAAGGCTCAGATTGGGCTAGTGACTAAGGGAAGCAGCATGTGGCTTAAGGCATCTCTGTCCACCCTGAGTAACTAGGGAGCAGCCTGGGCCCTCTGCATGTGATGCTCTGCTTCCTGGGGAATTCTGGCTAGGGCCAGAAGCACCTCCCTAAGTGCTGGTGTGCTTCTCTGTCTACTTCTCCAGGACCTCTGGGAGGGATAGAAGGGCCCTGTTCACCTCACAGAGACTCCCTGAGCGCTGGGCCCCAAGGTGCAGGGAGGGCCAGGCTGTCTCAGCATTGGGTCATTCAGATGCTTGAGTGAATGAGGATCAGCTGACTGGCAAGCCAGGTGACTACGCTTCTGATCAGTGCTGTGTCCTCCTCTGCCTCCAGCAAGGCACCACCCCAAGTACTCCACCTGTCCGATGGAGGCTGCAAAGCAGCCCTGAGAAGCCAGGGTCCTGGGTAGTAGGGAGGGCAGTAGCCCCCACTCCACTTGTATTCCTGGCCTCAGGGGCTGCTCAGGTTCCTAGGCCCATAGAACCCACAAACCCCTGACTAGGCCACATTGGGGACCCTAAGCAGTAGGTTGCAAGTCCTAGGCCCTGTCACCAGGTACATACCAGTGCCCAGGCTTGAAAGGCCCCAGGATGCTGGCAGAGCTAATGTCCCCAAGCGTTCTCATCTCCCAGAGCACTCAGGTCCCTGCCTCAGGGAAGGAGCACGGTCAGGGATGATCTCTCCAGTCCAACTTCAGCTCTATTCCTTGTCCCTATTCTTCACTGGGTTCCTAGGACATGGGTGCGGGAGTCTCATGCTGCCAGAAGGACGACAGTGCTGTCACCCCAGAGCTGGGGTGACTCCACCCAGCCTCTTCCTGCTGCCGCCTGTGCTGACTCACCCACCCAGCCTCCTACTGGGCTGGGGCGAGGGCTTGGTGCCCCAGAACCCAGTGAGGCATCAGAAGCATCTATAAAAGCACGTTGGGCCAGTTCCTAGCATCCTACTTGGCTATCACCTGCTGCTGCACAATGTTGGGAGGCCTGGGGAAGCTTGCCGCCGACGGCCTGGCCCACCGCACCGAGAAGGCCACTGAGGGAGCCGGTAAGGACCCCGGGGCTCCTTTTCACCTTGGCTGGGGGATCTGGGGCAGATTGAGCCAGAGGTGAATCTCAGCAGGCAGGCCTTGGCCCCATTGGGGAACCCTGGCCTATAGCACCACTAGGACAGGACGGAGTTTGGGGGGTGGTGTAGAGCTGAGGAGGGCAGCTCAGGGTGGAGCCACAAGGGTCAGTCCTGCTCTTGGCGCAGGCTCAGCCTTCTCCAGGGATCTGTGGCTGAAGGCCAGGAGAAAGGCCAGCCTGGAGGAGGCTCTTGGGAGAAAGGGTAGGCCAGGTGCTAAGTGAGCAGCTGGCAGCTTAGACCCTTCCCACCAGAAACCTGGGGAGCCCTTCTGTGTCAAACAGCCTATTCAAAATAGCCTGCAGGAAAGGGAAGATGGATTTTTATTTTTACTGTAACTTTGAAGCTTCAAAGACTTCTTCATGAAGAAGCCACCAAGTCTGATTCTTTTCAAAGTCAAAGAGAACATTTTCAATTTCTTTCAAGTCCTCCAAAATGTTTTTTGTTTTTTAAATCTTTTGTAAGCCGGCTCGGTGGCTCAGCCTGTAATCCCGCACCTTTGGGAAGTTGAGGCGAGTGAATTGCCTGAGCCCGCGGGTTCGAGACCCACCTGGCAACTTGGTGAGACCGCATCTCTACAATAAATAAAAAAATTAGCTGGGCGTGGTAGCGCGCGCCTGTAGTTCAAGCTACTCGGAAGGCTGAGGCGGAAGGATCGCCGGAGCCCAGCAGGTCGAGGCTGTGGTGGCTGGGAACGGCCACTGCCCTCCAGCCCGGGCGACAGAGTGAGACTCCAACTTAAAAAAAAAAAAATCTTTTGTAGAGATGAGTTCTTGCTAAACATAAGCTGATCTCAAATTCCTGGGCTCAAGTAATTCTTCCCTCTTGGCTTCCCAAGGTGCTGGATTAGGGGTGTAAGCCACCGCACCAGGTCCCCTGATATATATATATTTTTTTCTGAGTCAGAGTCTCACTCTGTCACCCAGGCTGGATGGCAATGGTATGCTTACGGCCACCAAAGCCTCAGTCTGCCAGGTGATCCTTCTGCCTCAGCCTTTCAAGTAGTTGGAACTACAGATATGTGCCACCGTGGCCAGCTAATTGAAATGCATTTCTTTTTTTTTTTGAGTTGGAGTCTCACTCTGTCGCCCAGACTGGAGTGCAGT